AAATAAATAAATAAAATCTTTAAAAAATCATGAATAATAATATTGTACAACTTTGTCAGACCATGAGCACATCTGACTTACTTTTGGAGAAAAACTTACATTTACCTTGCTGCTGCAGCTTCCTAAATTATACCTATCATGAGAGAATATAAAATCTTATCCATTTTTCTCAGATACTGTCATAATGTATTATTTTTTCTGTTCCTTTACATTGTGCTCTGTCACGGATGTAACCCTTGGGTGGCCTCTATATCTGGTAAGATTGGTGTGACAGAGGCTGTAAGGAGACCCTGACATCCAAGGGTCCTACAGCATATGCCTCGGAACCCTGCACACAATCTTGGAGAACGTGATGGATGTATGTTAGTCATGGTGATGATGCTATCATTAATGCACCATTCATTGCTCCCTGGCTCTAAGAATCATCTCCACATTTTCTATGCTTTGTATTTTCAGACCCCTTGGCCCTTTTTTCTCCCATGAATTCTCCTTAATACCCAACAGGCACAGAGCTTGTCTAGTTAAGCAGGCCTGGTAGAGCTAACAACCAGGCTGGAGCTGACTAGGAGCTCTAATGGAGGAGATAGAAAATGGCTGTACATTTGTAGGCACCTGTGCTTCAAACTGTCAGAAACACAAGATGTATGACAGCTCTGATGGCTTCCGTACCCAGAGCTTCCTGTTCCAGACCTGAGGCTCCACCCTCGTGGCAAACCAGTTTGTGTCACACAGTGTCTCCTGCAGTGGTGCAAAAAGTGGTAGGGAAGCTTTGCTCTGCCAAGAGCCATTTGGATATTTATAATATCACGTACAGGCCATACAAAATTATAAACTTAAAAATTAGCCTGCTGGGGGCCAGAGCTGTGGCATGGGTAGGTTAAGCATCTGCCTGCAGCACTGGCACCCCATAAGAGCACCAGTTCCAGTTCCAGATGCTCCACTGTCGATCAAGCTCCCTGATGATGGCCTGGGAAAGCAGCAGAAGATAGCCCAAGTGCTTGGGCCCCTGCACCCATGTGGGAGACCTGGAAGGAGCTCCTGGTTCCTGGCTTCAGATCAGCCCAGTCCAGCCATTGCAGCCATCTGGGGAGTGAACCAGCAGGTGAAAGACATTTCTCTGTATCTCTCTCTCTCTGTATGTAACTAACTCAAGTAAGTAAATAAAAACTATAAATATAAATATTTTAAAAATTAGCCTATTGTAGATTTGTTGACTTTGGAGTCCCAACTTCAGTTGCCTTGGCAGAGCCAGACCAGCTAATATGTGGCCGTGGGCCAGATGTTCCCTACCCTCGCTAGAGCTACATGAATTTCCTCACTTTTCCCATACTTCCCCTGTAGGAAGGGTCCTTCCTCAGCCCACAGAGGCCCTCAGCACACGTTCATGGGGCCCAGGCCTTGCTTGTGGATGTGAGCATCCAGCACTCTGCCCACACACTTCTCTCAGGCGACTTCCAGCTGGTGAGATTTCAGCGAAGCCCAGGAGAGAGTTCAGCATCAATTTTTGACATTTCCCTAAATCACAAGAAACCAGATTTCTTTCTTTATATTTAGTTATTAAAATAAGTGAATTTGGGGGCTGGCATTGTGGTATATCAGGTGAAGCTGTCACCAGTGACACCAACATCCCATATGGTACCAGTTCCTGTCCCAGCTGCTCCAATTCGAATCCAGTACCCTGCTAATGGCCTGGGAAAGCAGTGGAAGATAGCCAAAGCAACTTGGGCTCCTTACATGCACATGAGAGACCCAGAAGAAGCCCCAGGCTCCTGGCTTCCCTGTCTCAGTCCAGGGCCATTTGGAGAGTAGATGATCAGAAGCATGTTATAAATGAATGTCACATAGTAAAGTCATAACAATGTGGATTACAGAATGGGCATTTGGGACAGCTGCATACCAGTGGAGCGCCTGGGTTCAAGCTCTTCCCTGCTTTTGCACACTCTAGAGGCAGCAGGTGACGGCTGAAGTAGTTGGGTCCTTGCTATCCATATCAAGTTCCTGACCCAACCCTATCTGTTGTGGGATTTGGGGGAGTAAAACAGATGGGAGAGCTGTGTCTGCTTCTCTCTCTCTCTCTCTCTCTCTCTCTCTCTCTCTGTATGCCTTTCAAATAAATAAAATGAATAATTAAAAAAGTGGGTTACAATAGGACAATAACCCCCCCCCCAAATTCTCAACAGGATTGTGAAATTAATCTCTTTAGAGTCATCTTTTCAGGGAGATATATCTAATATAATTTTTCTGCTTGTCATTTTTCTCTATGTCACAGTTTAGATCTTAATGTTTTAGACATTCAGTAGTAGTAAATCAAAAATAATAGGCAAAAGTAGGAAATTATAGTATTCCATTTTACTGCCATATAAGAAAACTTTTGACTCTATTGAGCAGCTGAGTGTTTCTTTCTTTAGAGCATTTCTTGTTTCTGAAAGCAATGATTTGATGTTATTTATTTTGAACTCTACTTCTGTTTAATTCTTCAAATTTTTCTTGGTTCAAATACAATTATAATTGCAAGAACACATTTGCAAATTTCATCAATGCATGCAAAAACACCACTTTATTAAGGTTTATTACGCTGTCATTTCAACAGTGTGGTCAGTTACAGACATGTACATGTTTCTTGTCTGGAGACCTCATCTTAACCTGAAAATGCTAAACTACCATGGAGAATACTAGAATAATGGCTCTGATTTTGGAGTAAGGAATGTGTATTTTATTATTGAGTGACATGTCAAATTCTATAAACTATATATATACACCAACTATACTAAAATTCTTACTAAAATGTAAAAAGCAAATATATTTATTTATACATATGTTTGAGATTAATTACATTCTAATATTCCCAGTTTTCACAGGTATGCATTTTAACAATTAGAAGTCATTTTTGATCTTTAACTGAAAAGTTGGGTCTTCCACATAAAGAAAAGAAAAAAAAAACACTTGTTTCTTATTTAAGTTTATTAACTTGTTTGGGACATGGGTTCATCACTTACTGAAATGGAAGAACTAATTTTTCAGTGTCTTCAAAGTATAATGAATGGAGACATCACTAAAAGTCTATTTGGGAGCTAGTGTTGTGGCCTAGCAGGTAAAGCTGCTGACTGCAGTGCCAGCATCCCATTTGGACACCAGTTCAAGTTCCGGCTGCTCCACTTCCAATCTAGCTCTCTGCTATGTCCTAAGAAATTAGCAGAAGATGGCCCAATTCCTTGGACCCCAGCACCCACATGGGAGACCTGGAAAGAAACTAAAGGCTTCTGGATTCAGATAGCCCCAGCTTTGGCTATTGCGGCCACTTGGGGAGTGGCCCAGCAGGTGGATGATCTCTCTTTCTCTGCCTTTCAAAATAAATAAATAAATATTTTTTTAAAAAATAAAGAAGTCTAATTGGATCTCTTAAAATGTGTCAGATGAAACTCAGTGAGTTACCTCCCTCCAATCCCATCCTTCCTGCTATGGCCTTAGTAACTACCACAGATGTTTCAATGCATTTTCCCAACACATCTAAGCAACGTCCTGGGATGCTGAATTTGAAGATTGCTTATTATCTACACGTTAATTTTTAGCTCTGAGATCTTTACATTGTACTGTAAAGAGGCAATAAAGTGTGTGACATAGGGTCATTTATTTGTTGATTTAATTATTTATGTTCAAAACACTAGTTTAGTCACTCTTCCACAGACTATTCTAAATCTAATAAAGGATATTAAAACACGAGAAACATAATCTACAGACATTAAAAATCTCTCCCAACTTAGAATTATTTTGATGAATGGTGCAGGCTACCATAAAGCATAAAATATCAAAACCAATTAAGAAAACCAAAAACTATGACTTTGTAATCAACTCAGTTGATAGCTACCTAAAGTAATAAAATAAGATTATTTTTCTAACTTCATTCATGTAAAATAAATTTTAATAAGATTGATGCTTTTCATCATGATTTACAAGATTGTGAGCTAAGAATAAAAATGATCTTCTCTATGATGGAGGATACCCATAGTTACAGATTTTGACCCAAAATATGATTTGACATCAAAAAGACCTACGGCTTGAGATAAAAACAAGTGGTTTTCAACAGGATAATATATTAATCTATTATAATTTGCAATGCACTAAATGTTCTCAAATATTGAAAACACCAAGGAAACCAACCAGGAGGAAAAGAAAAGCACAAATAACAAGAAAGAAGGTAACAAGGACAAATAAAATTTTTGTTTATGGTGCACATTTTGCATCTATGCATATATGCCCATAGATAGTGTAAATTCAATCACCTGAGAATTTATTCAAAGAAAATTCACCTTAGTTTTTGCTTGAAAATCAGTTTTTGCAGAAAAAGTGATACCTTGTCACTGTGTATATGGTGTTTTAAAGTACTCTATTATTAACACAACATGTTAACAGTTTTCTACACATGTAAAGCAAACACACTCCTCACAAGATAAGTTTACAAATATAAATATATATAAATAGGGCATAAACAAATTATTATATGCTTATTCTCCTGTAGATACTAAAGAGAGAGTCAGTTTTGATGAGAAATACACTGAAAGTTGTAGTTAAACATAATAAAACTTTTTAGAGTGCTTCTTTATTCTGCTACCTTCTTTTCCAAAAAAGAGATAATTATATAATCTGGGACAAAAAAAAATGTATACTTATGATAGAAAAAAATTCAAGTAAACAACAGTTGTGGCAGATTCTAAGACCCTCAGTAAACATTCAATCGTTGGAAAGATGATCCAGAATTCAAACACTGTCGTCATAAGGTGTGACTTGTCCCCAGGCTACGAGGATAACACCAAGAGAGGCCCAGCAGGACCAGGGTGCCAAGGTGACCAATTGATTCCTGCCAAATACATCCTCAGAGTTTAAAATGGGAACAATTATGCTTATTTGGAATTTTATTTCCTTCTGCAAAATACCAATCAGTTATAATTATTTTGTTAAATGGGATTCAGTCAGGATTAATAAGAGGAAAAGGGCAGACTTACCGTCTCTGCGATTAAGCCTCGCAAACCCAGCGCCATGGCTACTGGACAGCTCTGAAGAGCTGCTGAAGGAGGCCTGGGGCAGGGAGGATGCCAGCGGTGCATCACAGTCACCTGTCAGGGACACAAGATGGAGTTAACAAATAGACCATAGCTGGAGGGAAATAAAAGCTAAAAAAAAATCCTAGGACCCAGGACAACCATCTCTGTTAACTTTAAAAATTTTTTTAAATATTTGTGTTGTAGTATATAATTGACAAAGTAAAGGTCCTGAACACTTACTCAAATTTTTTGAAAAAGTATACAAAAGTCTATTATTTTTCTTTTTTTTTAACTTTTATTTAATGAATATAAATTTCCAAAGTACGATTTATGGATTACAATGGCTTCCCCCACATACTGTCCCTCCCACCCGCAACCCTCCCCTTTCCCACTCCCTCTCCCCTTCCATTCACATCAAGATTCATTTTCGATTATCTTAATATACAGAAGATCAGCTTAGTATACCTTAAGTAAGGATTTCAACAGTTTGCTCCCACACAGAAACATAAAGTGAAAAATAATAGATGATTTTTTTTAAATGATGATGAAATCAGATCAGACCTATTGTCATGTTTAATCCCAGTGAGAGTCAAGTTGGGAGTTGATAATTTCTTTTTTTTTTTTTTTTTTTACAGAGGATCAATTTAGTATACATTAAGTAAAGATTTCAACAGTTTGCGCCCCCATAGAAACACAAAGTGAAATATATTGTTTGAGTACTCGTTATAGCATTAAATCTCAATGCACAACACATTAAGGACAGAGATCCTACATGAGGAGTAAGTGCACAGTGACTCCTGTTGTTGACTTTACCAATTGACACTCCTGTCTATGGCATCAGTAATCTCCCTATGCTCCAGTCATGAGTTTCCAAGGCTATGGAAGCCCTCTGAGTTCTCCGATTTCTTATCTTGTTTAGACAAGGTCATAGTCAAAGTGGAGGTTCTCTCCTCCCTTCAGAGAAAGGTACCTCCTTCTTTGAAGACCTGTTCTTTCCACTGGGATCTCACTCGCAGAGATCTTTTGCCAGGGTGTCTTGGCTTTCCATGCCTGAAATACTCTCATGAGCTTTTCAGCCAGATCCGAATGCCTTTAGGGCTGATTCTGAGGCCAGAGTGCTATTTAGGACATCTGCCATTCTATGAGTCTGCTGAGTATCTCACTTCCCATGTTGGATCACTCTCCCCTTTATTTATTCTATCTGTTAGTGTTAGCAGGTACTAGACTTGTTTATGTGCTCTCTTTGACTCTTAGTCCTTTCATTATGATCAATTGTGAACTGAAATTGATCACTTGGACTAGTGAGATGGCATTGGTACATGCCACCTTGATGGGATTGAATTGGAATCCCCTGGTATGTTTCTAACTCTACCATTTGGGGCAAGTCAGCTTGAGCATGTCCCAAATTATACATCTCTTCCCTCTCTTATTCCCACTCTTATGTTTAACAGGGATCACATTTCAGTTACTTTTCAACACTTAAGAATAACTGTGTATTAATTACAGAATTAAACCAGTCATATTAAGTAGAACAGACAAAAAAACTACTAAGAGGGATAATGTATTAAGTTGTTCATTAACAGTCAGGGCTATGCTGATCAAGTCACCGTTTCCCATAGTGTCCATTTCACTTCAGGAGGTTTCCTTTTTGGTGTTCAGTCAGTCTATTATTTTTCACAAATGCAATTATCTGTGCCACTTCTTCCATAAGAAAGATATAAAATAGAGCTGTTAGCCTTCAAAACCCCTCATGTATAACATTTTCTTAATCCTACCACGTGGCTGGGTGTGCTACCAACCCAAGACCTCTTTAAAGTTGATGCTTGCAAACATGCATAGGCACTATGTGTTCAGTGTCTAAGCCTTGCTTGTGGTTAGAAATTTATATGTGCATCCCTGCACAGAACCCGCAGGAGCAAAGACAGCGGGAGTCTCTGCCAGGTGTTCAGATTACAGTTACAGCTGGCATCTCTGCCAGGTGTTCAGACTAGCATTAACTGTGTAAAGAAAGACAGGGCCCAGGAAAGGAAACACCTACAATGGTACACTAGCAAAACCTCACTCTGCAGTCCTCTGCATAGAGTGTATTTGAAAGATACTTGCTTAGAGTATGTGCACTCCTCCTTTTTAGCTGATATCTCTAGTGATTTTTCAACTCTGAGTCTCCAGCATGTTTTTCTCACTTTGAGACAATCCTCTTACTTGTGTTCAGGCATAAAAAAATGTCTGGGGGTTTAGGAGTGTCTAATCCAGATTACCTTACTATGTAACAATCAGGACACACAGGTCCCCAATGCTCCCAGAATCCACCACCTCCAAACCTGGGGAATGCTGGGACTATTTCCACTTTGGGTAGCTTTCCCTGGAGTGTTTTTTAGGTCCTACTGTGCCCTTAAATCCAATCCTGTAATCATTTTATCTAGAGGTATTCCACAGGTTTTCTCATAAGAAAATTGACATTTTCTAACAAGGAAATTGAGCTTTTAATTTTAAACACAGGCTTTCTGTCATATGTTGTGGTATTTCTATGAAAGATGAATATTCACTCCAAAGTGTGCTGGGGCATACCAACCATTGTCCCCTGCGTCTGAGAGGTCTAGGGTAAACTTTGGCCACGCCCCTTCTTCCCTTCTATTCTGGGAACAAGAGGAAACCTCCAGGAGGTCTAACATGGGGAGACTTGTCCCACTTCTGGGCAAGGATGCTTGTTTTAAAGTGGGGATCACTCTTCTCTGGGAGAAGATTTTGGTTGCATGGGGCTCCTTAGAGGACACTCTAAGAGAGTGACCCTCCAACATGTGGACCCATCTACCAGATCTGTGAGCTCTGAAATTTCTCACATGTTTCCTGACTCCCTCTGGCTTGTCTCTTAAAAAACTTATGCAAGTTGGGCCTAAAGGGGGAGGTAAGGCCAAGAAATGGCCAAGAAGTTGGCACTTTTGCTCTCAAAATTCTCTAGGACCTTAATAACTTTACAGAGAGAAATGGCAAATGGTCAGAGGTTCCCTACCTCCAAGCCTTTGTCTTCCTCCAAGGTCATCTTTCCTCATTCTAAGTCTTCAGGCAGGAGAAAGGCCTGCAGCCTCCTCTGCCGTTCCTTTCCTCCACTCTTCTTCCCTCTTAGGAATGCTGTCGCTTCAGGAATACGACCTTTTACCTGCCCAGTCCCCCTTCCCCCAGTCCCCCTCCCCTCAGCAGAAGCCTTGACTCTGCCTCTCCCCTGGCTTCCTGGCCCCTCCTCTGTTCTGCCACTCTCTCCCTGGGTGCAGAAAGCTAGTAGAATGTTTACTGCTCTGGAAATCTCCGCACTTGGGACATTCTAAACTGCTAGGACAAGGCACTGTAAGCTTCACCAGGGAGCCTTTCTCACATCTTCTGCCCCCTTATCAGAGTCCATGGGGTGCTCTGCACCTCCCCCAAGAAGCAGCTTAAGAATGGACTCTGCCTGCCTTCAACCCCTTCCCTAGACCCCATCCAGGCAGGTTCAACCCCACTCTTTGTTTACCTCCCCTTTCTGTCCTCCCTATAATGCTTTCTCTACTGTAACTAGCTGCCTCCTCTCCTTCTTTGATACCTTAAATCCTAAAACCTAACATAATGGACTCACATCTTGTACTGCTACTTTATCTCACATCCAAACTCTCTCCTTCACAAAGATAAAACCTCTGCTCCAGCCATCTCCAGTAATGTATCTGGCAGAGCTAACCAAGAAAAAAACTCAAGAACAGTGTTAAGTCATGAACAACTTCACTCCAAAAAATGTTCCATGTCTAGCCTTCTACCTTTGCGCCTACCAAGTCTAGTGGCAGCCAAAGTCTCTTTGCCAATATTTCATGGAGACAGAGGCTTGCCCACTCTTTTAACTTAACCACCTTGGTACCAAGAGGACTATCAAGTTCATTGTAAAGTCCTGGGAGGATTTTTAGGAATTCCACACCTAGGAGGTCCTCCACCCAGCAATGTCCCACAAAGGGAGTAGAAAGAAGATGAAGGGTCCCTTTCCAAGGCAACATTAATCTGGGAGGCCGGCACCGTGGCTCACTTGGCTAATTCTCCGCCTGTGGCGCCGGCACCCCGGGGTTCTAGTCCCGGTTGGGGAGCTGCATTCTGTCCCGGTTGCCCCTCTTCCAGTCCAGCTCTCTGCTGTGGCCCAGGAAGGCAGTGGAGGATGGCCCAGGTGCTTGGGCCCGTGCAGGTGCACTGCATGGGAGACCAGGAGGAAGCACCTGGCTCCTGGCTTCAGATCAGCGCAGTGCACTGGCCACAGCACACTGCCTGTGGTGGCCATTTGTGGGGTGAACCAACGGAAGGGAGAACTTTCTCTCTGTCTCTCTTTCTCTTACTGTCTAACTCTGCCTGTCAAAAACAAAACAAAACAAAACAAAAAACATTAATCTGGGAGATATCTTCAGAGCTATGTGCAATAATGATCAGGATTACTGGCTCTGCAAAGTGGCAGGCTCACCAGGTTAATTACTATGCCTAAGCTTGTGTCTTTCTCCAGAGCTGCCCTTCATTCTGTCACCTATCAGATTCTCATCCTAAGGAATATCTTTCTCCATCCACAGGGGTGCCCATCTGCTCTGATGGATGCCCTCTCTCATTAAACCTAACATGATGGTGAACAATCTCTAGTGGGCTTCTCATGCATGACACACCAGCACCTGGCCCACAGTCACCCTTGGGACCTGTCTTATAGCTGCCTGAACTTGTGTTTGTTTCAGAGGTAGTCCCAAGTTGCTAGCTCACTGTTCACTAGGGATCATTGGCCCAAAGTGGTTTTTGGGTAAAAAAAAAACTATACTCAAATTAAGTTTAAAATCTGAAAAGATATCATTAGTAAATAACAATCTCATATATAAAAATTTTGTTCTGATGTACATGGGGTTTAAAGCAATTTCTCTCTTTTGAATCTAGGAAAAAAACTGCTTTGCAGCTTGCCAAACTTGCTTTGTAACTTAGTTTAACAGATCCAGATGAAATAGCAATGGTTAATCAGCTCTTGTTATAGCTCCCTAAGATGGATTTTATAATCTCTGGTTTATGTCACTGATTTCTAGCTCGGGTTTTATAAAAAGGAATAGAATTCCATATAAATGTAGTTTTGACCTTATTTTGGATAAAGATATGATATAATATCAGTATCTTAAGTCATCTAGGTG